TGAAGAGCGCTGATATATGCGCAAATTTAAATCTATGTGCGCTGCGCCTACTGCGCGGATCCAATTTACATCACTGGTGGTGGGTGCACAACAAACATTTTCCCTTTTTTAAATTAAATCCATTAAGACTATTAAATAAAAAAAATTTTGTTTTAAACCAAATTGTTAATTGTAAAAGAAAAAAAGAGTCTTTGAAAAATTTGGTCGACGGGTAATGCAAAACGGAAATTTAACTTTGTGTGATCTGATCTTAAATTACATACACATTGAATCTATAACTTAAATCCATCGCTAATTTTTTATCAGGTGCCTCTAAGTTTAGGATGGTAACTTTTTCAATTGACCCGGTTTTCAATTCAACTGTTATTGTTAGATAAATTAATTTAAATATTTACAAAATCTCAATCATCTATATGTCTAATTCTGTAATTCTACGTCTAATTCTATATTTAATTTTACATCTCAGATTTCCGAAATCTTAAAATCGATTAAAAAAATTCTTTCGATATGCGAAATAACTACTATTATTAACCAAAGCGAAAACTTTTTTTTTCTTTATTAAGGCATAAAATCTTATATTAGTATTATATTCACGATTTAACAATCTATAAATCTAATTTTTGACTTTATAATTTAAACGCGTAAAAACTCAACGAACTCTTATGAAAACTCGTTGGGAAAAGCGATTGAAAACGATTAGAAAACATTTTCTACTAGAAACACTCAAACACTCAAAACAAAGTTTTATTAGCAAAAACTAATACTTTATTTAAAATGCTAAAAAAAATGGATAGAGCCCCAACCCCGCTCTATCCTATCCTAACCATCCATCTAATGTTAGGTCTATTATAACCGTATACAATTTGTTTTTTTTGTTTGAATACCTGATACCTGATACAATACCTATGCCTATTTTTTTTTTTTTTTTTATATTGTACGTACGTACGTACATACCCGTGTTTTTTTTTTTTGTTTGAATACCTATATTGTACGTACGTACATGTTTTGTTTTTTTGTTTGAATACCTGATACAATACATACATATACCTATTTTTTTTTTTTTTTTGTACATACGTACTACCCTTGTACGTACGTACTACCCTTGTACATACGTACATACCCGTGATCGTTTTTTTTTTTTATAAGTGTACGTATATACATACCCTTGTACATACGTACATACCCGTGATCGTTTTTTTTTTTTGTCTATGAAGTTTCCGATGGTTGGGGGAGAGGACCTTTGCGAGAACACTCTTTCACATTATGATCGGGGGCCCAACATCTTATGCAGCAGCCTCTTAGACGGGGCGGGATCCTTGGACAAAATACGAGAATGTGGGGACCCTTACAATAAAAGCATGGTCCTGGACCGCCCAGAAAACTTACGCTCGGGGGAGCTTCGTTGGGGGGAGCTTCGTTGGGGGGAGCTTCGTTGGGGGGAGCTTCGCTTGGGTGAGCTTCGTTTGGGTGAGCTTCGTTTGGGTGAGCTTCGTTCGGGTGAGCTTCGTTCGGGTGAGCTTCGTTTGGGTGAGCTTCGTTCGGGTGAGCTTCCAAAGAACCTTCATTGGGGGAACCTCCATCGTGGGAACCTCCATCGTCTCCATCGTGGGAACCGTCGTTGGGGGGAACTTTGTGGATTTTATTTATCGTGTTTAGACATAAAGTGCACACGGTGCTGTTTATACGATATAGTTCGGGAATGTCTTCCACTGACATTTTTTTTTTTTAATCAAAACAAACAAAATAAATCTCACCTTATATATGATTTTAAATTTTAAAAATCGATCAAAAAGATCTCCAGATCACGTGTAACGTGAAAATCACACGTTTTTCAAAAACTGTTGATAACTCAAAGTTTTGTCTTTGCAAAATTTTGGTATAGAATATACCTTTCTCCGGTTATCACCCTAATCTTAACATAGGGTTTATGACTTTAAAAATATTGCGCATTCGTTTGTTTTGATTAGTGTAACTCATACTTCTATGCGCTTTGATGACTGAAATTACGATTTTGATGCATCTATAATAAAAAGATCAAAAAAGTAGTTTCGGCATTAAAAAATTATGCACGTTTACGCGTTTAAGATGAAAATAATGAGCTCCGGACTTAAACCGGTTTCCGGTTCCTAGTGTATTATAGAAAACTTCTCACGGATGTACTGTAACATTACTATTTTAGTCCAACTGACATTTTTTTTTTTAAAAAATATTACGATCTTGCCCAAATTAGGGGGTCCGTTAAAGCCAGGTCCTCTATAATTACCTCCTATATAATCACAACTCCTATATAATCACACTCTTTTATAATCACTGCGTAAACTTTGAAATGATCTACATGCTGCATAAATTATCTTCTTGATATTTACATAAACCCTATGT